ATGGGCGCACAAACGGCGCAACATGTCATGTCCGTTAAAATAGGGGTAAGTATAGAACTTTGTTGGACAACAAGGATATATATAAACGGAAAGTATAACAGGGATAAGATAGAATAATAAACAAAAGTAAAAGGATATATTTGGCCCTTTTCTGTTTTTTATAAAATTTAAGTTCAGTGCACCGTTGGTATGTAAATAATAATATTTGATGTAAATATTTACGCAATTACCTTATTAATAGGTTAATTATAGATAATATTTATAGTAGATATTAATAAATAACCTAGCAAAGATAATAAGTGATCTGTTATCACAAACTAAATTGTATTGATAGTATAAATTCTTTTATGCTATGAGTATATATAAGTTAGTAAATTATTGTGCGGAGAAGGATCGTATTCCAAGAAAATGTGATGCAAATAACCTATTTTAATATAAATATTAATGACTAATTTTACAATTCGAATCTGTGACCTAAAAATATTCCTTCTTTAAATGGATTTTTGGTGTGATCATATGAGCTCTGCTGTAGAGTTCAAACTTAACCAAGTAAGAAAGTGTTATTTTAGGAGTAAATATAGTAGATACTTATTACACGCAGTAAGATTCTTTTGACTAAATAATAGATACTAATATTACACGTTCTTTAAAGTGTACTAATGGAGTTGCCCAATTAAAAAGTTAAAGTTGCAAAATCAAAATTTGTTCTATTAGATAACTTTACATCTAAGACTTTTTGGATCGGACAAAACAAAGTATCCAATAGAGTTAATATTCTGAAATTTCCCTAAACTATCTTATTTTTATCAGTTTTCTGTTTAAATTATTCAGTGTCCTTAACAGCTTGTTTGGATGGTTGTTACACATCATTTCATAATGTATTATATCGTACTGTATTATATTGTACTGTATCGTTTAATAAATACAATATTTGGATAGATTGTGTCGTTTGCCATTGTGTTATGATATCACGCACCAGTATTATGAAGAATAAACTTGCAATATTATAAAGAAAAATTATGATGCAAGGTAAAATTACTATATAAAAAGATAGGATAAGTGATAAAATAAAATAATTTAATAATAATAAAGGGTGAGATTGAGAGAAAAAGACAAGGTAACGATGCAACCACACTAAATCGGTCGTTACATAAAGTGGCATATTTCGTCATTCTGTAACGACGAATTTAACGATACGATGCAATAAAATTTAAGTAACAATCAAAACAAACATTGTATTTAAAGTAACAATACGATACGATACAATGCGTAACAACCATCCAAACAAGCTGTAAAACCCCCTGAGCTATATTGCCCTTCATATTGAAAACCCCTTATTGCATTCTTAGAGGTGCGTGTAGTACACGCTTCTAATGATTTTAAAAACGTGTCATGTAACACTATACGCGGCTATTTAACTCCGCCTAAAACCCACCTAAACTATCATTTTTTATCAGTTACCTACTTAAACTATCTGGTGTTCCCAAAAAACCCTTGAACTATATTTTTTTATATAATTTACTCATGATGTATTACTTTCGGATGATTGATTAATTTTAGGAGTTTTGGTTATAATAATATTTAATGTACTGTGTTAATTTTAGATTTAATTGTGATTGGCGCTTTATGCTTAAATCCAAATAAATATAAATAAAGGCATATAGTGTTGCATTTCTTAAAAAAAGCATCTTATATTACATAAAAAGATTACACAAAATAAAATTTCGCAAATAAAAAATCAATTGGCCAACAATTATATTCTCTAATTTCATATTATATAAAGAAGGTTCAAGATATTCAACTTTATTCTCTACAAGGTATTGAGTTTAATAAGAAGATTTAAAATTGTAATTCTTTCAATAATATGTATAAGACATGAAAGAAGACTAAAACAAGAAAGAGAATAAATCATTTCAGAGGAAACAAGAGAGGGNTAAATGTGAAAGAGGGTTAGGCTAATTAACCATTATTTTTGTCATATGAGCCATTTTGATATTTTTTCAGCTGTCACGCGCTCCCAAGCGAGTGTTTACACACGTTATGCCTGATCAGCAATAAGAGGGTTTAATATGAAGGACAATATAGTTCAGGGGGTTTTGAGGACAACGAATAGTTTAAGTAGGAAACTGACAAAAATGTAATAGTTTAAGGGTTTTTTGGGGTATTAACTCAATCCAATAAATTGAATGTGCCCGAGGGCTTGTAGGTACATGTCATGCTATATTGTATTTATTATCTATTTTTAATATTAACTTTTAAGAATATATTTAATAAGCATAATTAACTATAAAATTTCTACCCTCTATAAATAGTTTGCAGATATGAACAGCTTATAGGTTATGTTGCCTCTGAAGTTCTGTGATTGCTATTGGGACTTGTTGTCCAGTAGTGGTCTTCTTTTTCTGTACTTACACCCTAATTTTGATAATAAAATTTAATTTACCCCCTCCCCCNATAATTAACACCACTGATTAGAGCTGTAAGAGTGACTTCGTAAAATAAATAATTTTTTATAAAGTTTAATTTTCGCATTACTTATTGGTATAATAATCTTTCTTTTTTATAAAGTTTGACCATAATGTCATTTTGGGAACAAACGCTCTCTCAATAGTGTAGACTGTGGAAACACCAAAATATTGGCTGCTATGTCATTTACTAAAAGTGATGAGAGACATGAAATAATACAAATAATCGTTTTCATCTTTTTGTTGGTTTTCACTACTTTTTTCAACTGTTTAACTTCTAAAACTAATAATATAAAATAAAAGATTTACACTATTAGGTCCCCCACAAAAATAATTAAAGTAAATTGAAATTAATAATTTAAAAAATGAGACAAATAAATTTTTATAATAGGTTAAATTACACTGGTAACTGGTTATTTAAAAACTTATTATATCATCTGTGATATAAAGCAAATCCTTTATACAATGTCAATTAGTACCACAGCGTAAAAATAATGTGTGGAGCTTTAATGGAGATTCTCTTTCCTTTTTCTCCACCATTTCCCTTTCTTTTTCCTTTCTATCTTTTCTTTTATACTTACTCCGGTTCACGATAAGTGACCAATTTGCTTTTAGCACGCCCATTAAGAAAATACTAAATTCTATATAAAAATACCTACTATGACTAAACTACCCCTAATTAAACATTTAATGTGAGGAGTAAGAAATTTTTTTAGGGATATGTACATAGGGGTTATTTTGTAAAAACAAATTGAATTCTTTCTTGATTACATAACTGGACACTTATTTTAAACCAAATAAAAAAGCAAATTGATCACTTATTGTGAATAGTCATGTATTACCTACTAGATTTGTCCGTACTATATTCTTTTGGAAAAAGCAAATACTCCATCATTATCCCACTTGTTTGTCGCATTGAATATTATCTGGCGTTAATAATGATTTAATGATGCATATAATATGCTTAATTACTTATTTGATGAAGAAAAACCTACCTTGCTTAGTGCGAATATTTGCTGTTTAATCATTTTTCTGTAATTTACATGTATCAAAAAGCTCAATAAAGTTCATAGGCAAACCCAAATCAGGGAAACAAAATGAGTAAATATTTAGTGAAGTTGTATGCATTATCTAATTAATGTACATATTTGTTAATGTCAAGTCTCTAGAAATGTATGGAAATGGAAAGGTGACAACAAAAGACAAAGCAAAAAGAGTCCAAAGGTACCACCACTATCCCTTGGCTCACCTCAATGAAAGAAGCTTTTAGCAAGAAAGTAGAAAAGAGCCTTCTAATAATCCCTGGGTATTCAAAATTTACGCCCCACAGGAGAAATAACTAGCTTCTCTATTCCCAGAACTCGAACCTGAAATCCTAAGGGATCCGTCCACGACACATAGTGAAGTGGAAAAGAGGAATCTTGATCATTTTCCTCTCCTTTTTTCCTCCCTGTTGGGGGTAGGGTGGGGGGTAGATTTTGCTTTCATTTTCAAATGAAAAGTAGTAAGTTGTAACCCCATATTGCCATTGAACATCTCTATATTTGATGTCGTAGATGTATCTATTGGCCTATTTTTGCCAATGATTTTGATTCCTCCATATATGCATGCAATGTGCCAAGATGCCATAAATAATTTTGGATTCCAGATGTCACTTGTCACAACATGCTCTTCCAGCCTAATATCAGATGCTTTTGCTTCCTACTTAACCTGCACATACCAAATTAAATGCATTGTATTTGCACCTACATCAACAAGACGACTCATTTCATAATTGTTCACTCAATTTTTTGGTTTTTGACAGAAACAAAGAACCACCACAATTATGAAATTCTGACCAATGGTATCATTCGTTCTGACTAAATATCAGATTTTTAGCAAAGTTGATGCTAATCCCTCCTAAAATGAACATGCACAAAGAAGCAACAAAATTACATCTGATGCCATAATCTTCTCGAAACAGTTAGATTTGGAACCCTTTCTGTCTGCACAAGGAAAGTATTTTCTAGCTTAAATTCATAAACTCACTGCTGAAAGCAAGTCTTGGGTTTGGAACTATTCAAACCTTCTGAAAGTTGCTATCTTCATAAAACATAAATATTGACACATATGATGTCAATAAGAAGAAATTCAAAACTTGAAGATTAATGAAGCTCATCTGAAAGGTTCACTTACATTGCCAATAAGAAACACGACTTTATACCTACCAATCAGAACCTAGCAAATAGTGTCCCTTTTCTTGTCAAAGGGCACAAACTCGAGAGCCATGTTTTTTCAGTCATACAGATGGAGTAGCAAACCAAGCATCCAAAACTCTTAGTGTGTGTTGATTTAGCCAATCTGGAGCACTTTCATTACCAAACATGGCCTCAAGTAAATAATGAAACCTAATCAGACAATTGCCAAGCTGATAGCAAGTGCCTAAAGCTTAGCCCAAAACATGTACCTTGCCTATTGATACAAACTTATCATAAATTGCAGGAGGGTTACATTTTAGTCCAGGGTTTGACCACTAGGAGCATTTAACAACATAGCTCTTTGAAGTCCCAATGCTCGTAAAATAAATGCATGAAACATTGACATTGGTTTCATCAAGAAGAGAGTTACTTGATCTCATAGAATCCTAGTACATACAAGAAGAAATTACATTCCTAACAATCAGAATTCGTCATGTAATACATATCGCCACATCCTTATCATACCTACTTTGTCCGTGGATGCTTAATGCTGACGAGGAGTCAACTTCAAGCTCAATGTTCACGACAAATGAAAAAAAGCCCAGACGAACACAAATTTCAACCTTCCCTTCTTATTAGCCAAAGCTCCAAATAGTCAAGTCTAAGCCTTGAGATCACAGCACTACATACAATAATACACACCATTAAGTTGCTAAGACTGGAGAGGATCAAGGTTCTAACTGAAAAGGAGGTTTCTTTTCGGTAAATCCACATCCTCTTGACAATCTTTAATTAGTCCAGAGGCTATTCTGCATGAAAAAAAATGATTCATTATGCATAATACAGACAGTAAAATAATGATCAGCTCTGCTCTTGGTTAAAATAACCAAGCAGGTATTTTTCTCGTCTTTTTTTTTTCCCTTGATATAACCAAGTAGATACCAAGAGCAGTAACTATACATCAAATAAACCTGGCATGTCATACATGACAGAGAAAAGGGAAAATAGTAAAACTCCCCATAACAAAAGAAGATTACAGATACTACCCATTTCCTATTACTTCTTCAATTGCCTTGCTCGCACGGAAAATTGTAGTTCCACATAGTACCAATGTTTCATTTCATAACTCCAAATTTAGGATTGGAAAATTAGCTCGTGAAGGAACATCAGCCCACAGGAATCATTCAATCAAAACAGACTATAGATCAAATAAGCATAAGAAGATCGAAGGACCTGATATATTTCCTGATATAGAAACCCAAAATAACTTTACAATTTACGATAGTGCTCTTCCAGTAGCTTTTCAATTTCCAATAGTGTGCTTCCAGGCGAAGCAAAACATGTGATCAACATCAAGCAGCATATGTCATAAATAAAATAAAGTCTAAATAATTAATAGCACGCGAACAGATGATCATTACACAAACTGGTTTAACGTGAAAACTTAGAATGGTGCAGTGATTGAACAGGAAGCTCGTTTTTTGATAAACGTCTATCTTTCATCTAATGCAAGTCGTTCTAAATTCAGATATTGAATACTCTTCAAACATGTCCTCTTTAGCCTTTCTACACATAAATACAAAACCTAAGAAGTTCTCTATCTTAAAAAGCCAGAGTGCATATCGGAAACTTTGGGAGAAAGATATTTCAAAAATCCATCAGTAGAAGTCATTAGTAGTTGGGACTTGACTTCTCTTCAGCTGGTCCACTTCATTTACTTGCTTAAAAACAGCCTTTTTAGAGGATTCAATGACACATAACTGATAATTAATATTATGCGCACACATACATACAACAACTGGATATAAAATCCCAAATGAAGGACATGATGATGTACTACTTGAGTTCAATGTGCCAAAACAATAATACAATAAACACAGAACTACAATTATACCTCCACATTTGGCCTATCATTTGATTGCTTCTGATGCTTTTCTTGTTTACTGATGTCACCCGTGCTCCAGCATGGTTTAGCAATTTGCATCCTTTTCAACTAACCTTGGCCAGTTTCATCTCTATTCACCAGAGCACATTCAGAACATCATAGGCAAAAGTTTACATCTTATGCTCATCTTAGGACACAGATAGACATTGTCAAGGACAGTGAATCTAAGATACTTCCATGATCACATATCCAACTGATTGAAAGGAGTTTGAGGCGGCACCCAAGCAGCACCAACACATATTTCCTCCATCTTTTTGCTGGATGAAGATGAATCTCTAACCGCAAGCTTCTCCATTAATGTTATAAAGCACCAAGATAGGATTTCCTTTACTTTGTTACATTGTGAATGTTGATCCAGGTTTTTTCTGTGTGAATCTATTTCTAGGGACTTTGATTGATGGAAAGAAAAATGTACACTTATTAACACTACTCCTCCGGTCCTTTTTATTTGTCACTAAGCCAAAAAAAAATTATTTCAAATAATTTGTCATTATACAAAACCAAGAAGGCATACAGTCATTACTACTGCTTCCGGTCCATTTTCAATTCCACTGTTACTACTCCAAGAAGACATAGTCATTAATTACTTATTTAAGGAAGAGATTAGGGTAATTTAGTAAAATATCACTTATGATTAATGTTATATAGTGGTTTTTTCAATAGGTGTGTCAAAAAATTAAACAACAAAGAACAAGAACCAGAGGGAGTATAAGATAGTTCTACTTGGCTTCCATGAGAAGAAAACTTGATTTGATATCCAAAAGAGGCAGGAATATCTGTTAGCCATGCAGATGTTTCTCCTTTATCACTGCCTGCTTTTTCAAGGTGGACTTTTCAGAAAAGGAAAACAAAGCTTGAAGTAAATAACCAACACCGCCAGACTGCACTCATGAATGCACACAAATGTTCGACCCATCTGACCAGCCATGACTTCCACGGAACAGTCTCACTCAAATGATGATCAAATGGCAACACTAGCGCACTCCATAAAGTTCTTCAATTAATGGGATATGTCAGGACATGAACTTCTGATATTTCACAATTGTAAGATAAAGGAACTCCAAATTTTCAACTGTGAAATCTGAGGACACTATAAATTATAGAACCACATGCACATTTCAGCCGGCTACCTTTATTGCACCAATCTCATCAATATTTGAGCTCTTGTGCTGCAACATTTCAAGATGTAAGATGATGGAGCTATTAGTAAAAGGCGAATGTATGTGTAGGGATCAGATTGCACATGCAATGAGTTTGGATCACAATTTAAGGTTTGCAGATAATACTTCTTTTTTTAATAAACAAGGTTGCAAGTATAGTAAAGAAAAATATGATATAATTCAATATTTTTGAGTTTACCTTGCTTTTCTTGTGTTTGTGGACACCGTTAAGATCCTCCTCCTCATGCTTCCTTTTCTGAAACCATTTTAAGAAAAAAGATCAAAATCAGTGAGTTCTTAATCCCTTTTAATACTGTGAAGAGTGACTTTTTGATTGCCAAATTCCAAAATGTTGCAACTAGAGTTGAAGTCAACAACAGTGATTTTTATGATGCAACTCAATAGCTAAGCACCAGTGGGGCAAGAACTTCAAAAAATAAAAACAAAGTAGAATCAAATTCTCACACAGGAAAATTACAAAGGCCACATATTATTAATTAGATTGCACATAACTCAAGCATGACGCTATTTTACAGTAAAGGAATGGATCAAACTTGTGCCAGTGGGTCAGAATCCTAGTTCCGTCAGCTTTACAAGATTCTATCCAGTTAAGAAAATGTTGGTTTTACTTTGAACTGGTCTTCTAAACTTCTGAATATAAAACCAAGAAAATGCTCACAGTAACAGCGTTCCATGAGAATCATCATTTTTGAGCCAAAATCATCAGAAGTTAGATAGCAGCAGACCTTCTCATGTTTCTTCGAATGCTCAGCACCAGGATCATGGTGGCCACTTTTATCTTTCTTTTTCTCTTTACTCCGATCTTTATGACGATGTTTGTGCTTCTTATGCTCTTTGTCCTTCTCCTTGTCTTTATCCTTGTGCTTTTTATGCTTCTTCTCCTTGTCTTTCATCTCACTTTTAGATTTTCCAGCTATAGTAGGGATGCCTTTCTCAGACTATCAAACACCATGAAAGACCTAATAATCAGCAACTAGTGTAACAGGCAAAACACTAACATTTCAGCGCAAAATTGAGGGAAACCCAGTTTAAACCTCCAACTTCAGAAATCTTGAATGAATAAGAAGGCTCGCTTTTCCTTTTCTTTTCTTTTTTTGTTTTTGGGAATAGGGTAAAGGAATAAGAGGGTTGCGTAGAAGAAGCTGAGCAAATGGAGTAAATCACTAAAGTTCAAAAGCAGGTATCTTACAGGAGACAAATCGACTGGAGCTGTTTCACGTAGTTGGAAGGCTTCTCTAAGGACATCTAAGTCAAAGGGCCGGATGCATGATTTTGTCTCTCTCGAAAAGGAAGTGTCCTGTGTGAGCTGATCCAACTGCATCCCCTCCCCTTTCCTAATTTCTCTGTCTCCAACCACATTGTGAAGATAATGTGTATCTGAAATTGATAATGGAAGTGACCTCTTGCAGAAGAACTCGTAATGAGGCAACAACTTGAAATGACTAATAAGGTCACGAGCCCCTGTAAGTTCTCTTGGCCCTAACAATATATTTGGACCAACTCAACAACAGTTATAAACTATAGATATCTGTAATAAACACAAACACGACTTTAAAGAGAAGAGCAAGTGCCTAAAATTTGATGGTTTCTTTTAGCCTTATACAGAATATGAAGAGATTAGTCTAAGGAATTTTAGGAACCAACTATATCTTTGGAGGCATATGCAACAAGAAAATACCACCAAGGTTGAAAATGCGAATCTGCAGTCTGTTGGTAACACAACAGTAAAGCCTGCCAGCACACTCTATAGGCAATACTATACATTCCTTACTATCTAGATTATGTTCATTTTTTCTTATTTTTTTTGATAATTGTGGTGTCCATGCCAGCTTGCGAGGGATACCTGTCTACCAAGGGTTGGACAGATGGGAAGAAATCACCTAGTGTTTTACCTCTGCTGGGATTTGAATTTGAGATCCCATGGTTCTCAACCACTTTATTTACCACTATGTTCATTTGACACCTTGAATATGTAAAAATTCAATTAATGGTGAGTATTTCTCTTTTTTTTTAGGCTTTGCCTCACAAGCTTAGGTATAAACTCTTCTACAGTCCATAAATTCTTAAGAACCTTAAATTTGAGCTGACTACTTTGCCCTTAAAGTCAGAGTCCTAGAGCATTATTCGAACAACTAACACCATCCAAATCTGTAGGAAAACGCATCAGGACCATATTTCTTTCTGGACTGGAAGACACTTGCAAAACTCATTCTCCAACAAATAACCACTCCACATGTAGATCGCAAAGACTTATAGAAGCAGCACAACCTTTATGACTAAATAGATGTAAGCAACTGTATCATTGTAAGCAGAAGAAGTCAGCATTGAGTTGGCCGGTAAAACAATAATTTTACTTCCTTAAAGTAAGTAAGAGAAATAAGACTACGAAACCCACAGCAAATTAATCGGCCAACAGGAGCTTGACGGAGAATATTAATCAATGAAATACATTCACCTTAAATCAAAATTCAAAACCTAGGGATGCAGTAGAGACACAAAAGGTCAACGGTCAGCAGAACAACACTGCAAGAGTCTCACCTCTTCCAAAGTTTTTGCTATCTGAATCCATCAATTAGCACCCAGTACATGAGTAGAGCATTATTTCCTGGAAAGTATCGGTAGGTAAGACAGAGTCCAGTACTATATAGTGCAGCAAAGGTCAATCTACTCAAAGTAGAATGCAAACAAAATGGCACTGGAGAAGTAAAACTGGAAATGTAACCATGATACCACCATCGTGAAAATGAATTAGTAATAGAGCCCATAAAACTTGTCACTACCTTTTTCTGGAAGAGCTACCTTATTTATCAAACCATAATACCAAGAATAAAAGAAAAAAGGGTGCAAAAGCGACATTAAATTAAGAAAGAAAGACAGCATTTATCTTCTCGAATGAGGAGAAAACTTAGTATATGGGCTGACAGAGAGATCGATTCATATCCCATCTCTTTACCTCTACTCTCCAGTGGATGGGATGTTCTAATGGGACCATTTCACAGATACTTCAGAGTTCAGAAAGAAAATTGAAGTAAATAATAAGGAAATATAAAACAGACTCAGACTAGTCCTATGATACAACAATAAGAATTTCTCCCAAAAAATAGTGCATAATGACGTCCAATGTTATCTACAGCCCCAAAAACAAGGTCTCCCTATAAGTAGTGCATAACCAGCCTAAGACTAGTTTTTTCCAAACAGTTACTTCACAAATGCAACATAAACAAACATTTAGACCTCACACGATCACCAATGACAAGACTGAACAACAAAAATGAAAAAGATAAGGACCAACACTCAACTTACAGTAAAGAAAACATAAATAATCAACAACAACAACAACAACAAATACCCACAGAAAGTAATAATAAGACATTATTAACTCAATAAACTTGTAGTTTGACCTACAATTACCAGTTAAAGCAACTAACTTCAGTTACCACAAAAACCAAAGACAAAAACAACAGAAATGATGTACTCAAAATTTTCGTAATTACACAAATTTGCATATCAATCAAATATCTTGATCACGGAATTTAAAGAGTAATGTCATTACACAGAGAATTCAAATTCTTAACTATGAGGTCGAGCTTACTCGATCTAACGGAGAGAAATCCAATACGTAAATTATGCTCCTGCAGAGCACGAATCTCGTCTGCTCTCCAATTGAAAATGCTCCTGAAGCAATAATCATCAATTTTAGAGAATAAATTAGGGATTAGGGCTTGGCAATTTACCGTGGGCTTCGTCTAATTTGAACTGGAATTAAACCCTTTTTCGCAGAACTTGGAAAACTATTGGCTCAGGACAGGAGAAAAAGGAACGTATTACTGCATGTTATTATCAAAATATTATTACTTAGTTTACCAGCGCTGTCGTGACTGTGTTTCCTATTTGTGTTATATTGACGTTAATTGCCCCCATCTTGGAATGGTCTTTTAAGGAGCTTTCCGTCATTTCAAATGCAATTAATATATCGTATAAGAGAATTATAAGTCGCAAATACGAAATGTGGTCTATAAGTCGCAGATATGAAATGCGCTATGTAAGTCACAATTTCACAATACTCTGTGTTTTCTAACTAGGACAATTAGGATTTGTATATTGCATTCAAGAAATGACGGACTACATAAAAAGACTCATTGTTTTTATTTCACAATCTTCAAATTGTTTGATAAACTTAAGTTTTAAAAAAGTTATTCAAGCATGTCGGAATCACAAACTCCAAAAAAAAATTTAAAAGATATCTCAATTTTAAGATCGTATTTCATACAAAATATTAATAACTGAATGGGCAATTTATGAAAAATAATAGGCAATTTTCAAATAATATTTTTGAAAGCGGTCTTATTATTTTATCGCATTTTAATTATATTGAAACATTTATATAGTTCCATATACATAATTTAGTTTTAAAATAGATTGCAACAATAAAAAAATAGATCATTATATCACGATAAGAAATACACTACATGACATGGATGTAAATTATATACTATAAAGCTAGAGACATTACGAACTACAGGAACAACCTCATCATTATTTCTACTTCACACCCTTCAAATTGATTGACAAACTTAAGTTTTCTATAATTAAAAAAAAAGGTAGTTTAAGCATATTAGAATCATAATCTCTAAAATATTTTCTCAAAACCTTTCTCGATTCTAATATCGTCTTTCGTATAACATATTAATAATTGATTAGGTGATTTCAAATACACTTAAGCGATTTAAGATATATAACGTATGCGATTGTGTCAATTCTTAAAGGCGATCTTACCCTTCTATCTTATGTTAATTCTTTTGAAACTTTCACTTATTTTCTGTATATAATTTAGTGATAAAAAATTGCAACAATAGAAAAATTATCCATGAACGTTATATCAAGGAAGAGATCATACTATATGAAATAGATGAACACTATATAGAGTTAGAGACATTCCAAACTACATGAACAATCTTATTTTTTCTACTTTACAACTTTCAAGTTGTTTGAAAAAACTTCCTAATTTTTTTCTACAAAATGGTTGTTTAAGCATGTTTGAGATTAAAATCTCCAAAATATTTTTTTAAAACTCATTTTTCAGACCGCCTTTCATATAACACGGGCAATTATGTTCATTTTAAGTAATTTTATGAAACACAACTTAGGCGATTCAATCTTATAATTGTTAGTATAATGTATTTTATAAAATAATTTTGGAAAAGAAAAACAATGTATAAACAGAAATGTAGAAGAAACAAAATTTAATCCGAGTAGACTAAATTTACAGTGTTTTCTTAAGGAACTTAATCCCCTCCTAGTACCCAAGGTTGTGGAACGGATTATACACTGGTGTAACGGTACTTCAAACCCCAGTGTTTTAGCTGCGAACACAATGATCGGTAGCAAATCACACTTACTGTTGCTTCCTTTATAGTTAAAACAATGCAGAAGAAAGAAGGAGATTTCAGAATTATCGTAAGAAAAATCTGAGGGAATGGTCTGCTATTTATACCCAACAGGCTGGGTTTAAATGAAGAGATGCAACTCTTCAGAGTGACTGTTATGATTGTTCGCGTAAGAACGGTCATTACGTAAATGGCTATTTACGCAAAATAAAGCGAAAAAATCAAACGCAGAGGAAAATTAATTTACCGTTACAAAAATGACTAATTGGGATTAAAATAATATTACGTTAATCTTAATATTAACAAATAAATTTGGCCCAAAAAATTAATCAATCAATCAGATCATTTGACCAAATCCAAATCCGAAGTCGAAGCCGAGCAAGCGACGACGAGGACAACATGAGACTTGCCTTTTTCGTAACTCTTTAACAGCTAGAAAAAGAGCAATTGTATATATACCCATCAAAACTCTTTTCCTCCTCCAATATGGGATAATGTCTCTTTGTCAATGAAGGAAATTCAAATATTTTTCCCCCTCCATTTCCCATTCACTCTTTATTTTAAGCTAACCAAGCTTAAACCCAACAACCCCACACATGAATGGATAATGGCTATATCAAGAAAATATGCATGAAAAACTGTGTGATTCGCAAACAAGGATTAATCGCATCTCGATAAGTAGGTTTTCCTTTGAACTTTCTGTAGTGAACTTGTAAGCACGTGATTTTTGCCCAATATGAGAATTACTCCCAAAAAATTCAAAAATAAAATGATTTTTCTTTAATGTGCAATTTTGTGATATTTTGTGATATTTTGAATAATTATTTGTATTTGTCTGTGCATGTTTATTTGCTAAATTAATAAAAAA